CACACACACACACACACACACACACACACACACACACACACACACACGAACGCACATGGCTTACATTCTGCTTTTCCTCCCTTTATATGCATGGGAGCAATTTTAATCATTGTAAATTAGTAAATTTAGTAAAATTCTTCAGGAGTGTCTTCTAGCTAAATCTAACAGATTGAGCACAAGAGCCCAGTAAAAGGAAAGGAAAGGAATTTCAAAAGGGATAAACCCACAAGGGTAAAAAGCATAGGAGAAGATATGAACACAGACAGGAGATAACAAAATTTCAAAAGCCAGGAAAGGAGAGAGAGAAGAAGTAATGGACCTAACAGATTAGAGAGACCTGCCCTCCAGCCCAGGGCAGGAGGCAACAGAAAGCAGGGTGATGTGCTCTGTGGAAGGACCAGGACCTACTGGAGGCACAGGACACCTCGAGAAGCCGCATGAGGTGGAAACAAGTTAACTGGCTGCAAATGTATGTAAGAATCAATTAGACCCCCAGGTACCCAGCAGAAGATCGGGGTTTCAGGGGTTTAATCAAGAGGGTCTGAACTCCAGGATATCCAGCACAGCTGAGAGCAGGAGGGAGGCACCACACTGAGCAGGGGATTGCATGAGAATCTATAATCGGAACACAAACACCCCCCACCCTGTTTCCTCCTAGTATTTCACAAAGTTGGCTGCCAACTCCTACCCCAACCAGGAATCTGGAAGATCCTCCTCAATGGAAGCTGATGAACCCAAGGGAAAAACCCCAATGGGGTGAAAGGCTGAATCCTGGCACACATAGCTCTCCATCAGCTTTTTAGCACTTGGCTCCTAAATACGAACACCAGACATTTCGGCAGTCTCTAATACTAAAGAGAGAGACCAGAACAGACACACAAAAATAAGTTGGAGAAATAACATAGGGAGCAGAAGGAAACTTTTTAGATAAAATATTATATGAGATAAAAATACTTCAAGAATAAAATACGCCTGAAACAAGAACAGGAGAGTATATAAAAAAGTATTTCTTTTATAAATGAGAATAAAATAAGCTCTGGAAAATTTAAAATAGAATTGCAGAAATAAAAACTCAACAGAAGGTTTAGAAAATAAAAGGTAAGGGAATCTCTCAGAAAGTACAATAAGAAAGGGAGTGGGGGGGATGGGTTAGCCTGGTGATGGGTATTAAAGAGGGCACGTTCTGCATGGAGCACTGGGTGTTATACACAAACAATGAATCATGGAACACGACATCAAGAACTAATGATGTAATGTATGGTGATTAACATAACAATAAAAAATTTTTAAAAAAGAAAGATTAAGAGTCTTGATAGGCAAAATAATTTGAAAAATTAAAAGACCAACCCTACTTATAGGAGATTATAAAAACAGCAAACACAGAAAATGGAGGGAAAGAAATTATCAAAGAAATAATATAATGAAGATTCTTGGAACTAAAGTATATGCAATTCCAGATTGAATATACCTGCTGAGTGTCAAAAGAAATTAAAAAAAAAAATCCATATCATGGTTCATCAGCATGAAGTTTCTAAACAGCAAGAATAAAGATTCCAAAAAACTTCTAGGGAGGGGGATAAGGTGGGACAGAGAAAAAGAGAAACAAAACATAAGCGTCTGCCTTCGGCTCAGGTCATGATCCCACGGTCCTGGGATCGAGCCCCGCATCAGGCTCCCTGCTCAGTGGGGAGCCTGCTTCTCCCTCTCCCTCTGCCTGTCGCTCCCCCTGCTTGTGCACGCTCTGTCTCTCCCCGTCAAATAAATAAAATCTTAAACACACACACACAATGGATTGGGAATACAGTGGCACTGGGAGGCAGTGGTTACCATAACAGGTTTTGGCCACTTAAATTCCTTGCATTTCAGGGCGCCTGGGTGACTTAGTTGGTTAAGCAACTGCTTTCGACTCAGGTCATGATCCTGGAGTCCCGGGATCGAGTCCCGCATCGGGCTCCCCGCTCAGCGGGGAGTCTGCTTCTCCCTCTGACCCTCCCCTTCTCATTCTCTCTCTCTCTCTCAATCTCTCTTTCTCAAATAAATAAATAAAATCTTTAAAAAAAATTCCTTGCATTTCAGCTTAACATCAAATTCAATATCCCACCATTTGACATCCAAGGAAACTATGGCATGGAGAAGAGAAATAACTTGTCCAAAGCTACTAAAAGTGACAAAACTGGGATTCAAACCCAGGTAGTCAGAGTTCCGTGTCTAGTAAGTGCCTAACAAACCAAACCTCCTGCAAATACTAGCTACGCACTCTGGACAAAACACACAGAAACAACTTTTCCCGAGGTCTCAGTAGACTGAAAAGAGGCAGGCAGGTTCTGGCGGGGATTTAACGGTTGGAGCAGACAACAGCAGGCAGGCAGGCTCCTCCCTCCCCCACCCTATTCTTTTCTTCCCAGCTAGCCCTGAGGATGGCCGCGGTCAGCCAGCAGTGGAAGCACCAGGTCCGCCGGGTCAGTGGAGGGCAGCCGAAACAAATAGACAGCCCACCATTTTTCTGGTAAGAAGAACCAGGCTGACAGAAATGGGGGAGGAATACCAAAAAGAGGAGAGCCAGAGAAGGAAAACTCCAAATTCCGTGTTTAAACGTCACTGACGTTTCTACCTGACTCCGGAGCACACATGCACTGGGCAAACTGAAAGCAGCCTGTGACCCAAGAACTGATCAAATTGCTGAACTGATGCCCAGTGCACGTGCGACAATCCGCACTTTGGGTCTAACTGAGTTGCTGCTAAAACCAAGCCATCAACACTCTTTAGAGCAATCTAACAGAATCCAGTCTCTACAATATAACACCACCATGTCTAAGATACAACCAAAAATTACTTGACATATGCAGAATCAGGAAAATGTGACATGCCAACTCCAAGATACCCAGATGTTGAAATTACCACACAAGAATTTTAAAGCAGATTTTATAACTATATATTTACCTCAGGAAGATTGAAAAAAAATACACTTGTAATGAATAAAAAGATGGGAATTCTTAACTGAGACAGAGAAAGTATAATAAAGATCCAAACCCAAGCAGGTTAGCTCAAAAACCTATACTCTCAATCTCTAAACTATAGCTACCTTACCAGTGAGAATTACATGCCAGGTCTTCAGTAAATGTTGGTTATTATTATTGTTAGCCTTTTCCACAATGACACTGGAAGCCAAAAGATAATGGAGGAATGCTAAAAAATGCCAAAGGAATACAGTTTATACAGTTTCCAATTTAGAAATCTCTAACCAAATAAAATCTCAATCAAATGTGAGACTAGAATAACTATAATGCACAATCTTAAAAATTCACCTCCTAAGTGCTCTCTTTTGGGATCTACTGGAGTGTGTGCTTCATTAAAACATGTAAGTAAGCCAAGAAAAAGGAGGGCAGAGGCTTCAACAAAGGAGAGAAGTGAAGTGAATTTCAGGCTGAAAGGAAGCTTCTGGATGCCTGCAGTGCAGCAAGCTGAGAGCAATCTGTCCAGACTGAAGCAGGAGGGCAGGGGGCTCCAGGAAGGAAAACCCAAAATACACACACACACGAGAACTGATACATTACCTAAAGTGTTTGACTGTTTTGAAAGTGATTTCATAGCTCTGGCAGAAAATTTGGGAATAAATTCATGATGTATACATTTTAAAAAAGAGGTGATGATTAATTCCAGGGAAATAAAAATTATATAGGAAAGTAAATATGATCATAGTTTACCATCTGATTTACCTGTAAATTATATTTTCATAGTAATAGGTACTACTTTGGTAAGAATAAAAATGTAAAAAACAAAATAATAAAGCTCAGATATCATTCCGTAATAGTACAAAGGTATCTACTATACCTTTCCTTTTCTTTTTTTTAAGTCACAAGATACTTGAAGCATCTAGGAAAGTATAGCAAATAATATACAGAACGTACATGTACGTTAATACCTAGCTTTAATTGAGTCATAAACACTTCGGGTCTTTCTTTTATTTTAAAGAAATGAACCATTACAGATACAGCTGAAGTCTCCTATGGAGATGGATAGACATCTCCTGATTTCATTTTCTCTGCTCTCCCCGAGAAGCTACCACTATCCTGAATTTGGTGCTTGTTCTTTCCATGCATGTTTTTATATCACCACATGTGATTCTTTCCATAAACAATATAGAATTGTTGTGCATGTTTTCAAATTTTAAGTAAATGTGCTAATCTGCATGTTTTAACACCCTTTATTTTAACTCAGTGTTGTTTTTGAGATTTATCCATCTTGATACATACAGCTCTGGTTCATTCCTTTTAACTGCTATTTTATACTACAATGTGACTATACCACGACTTGCTTCTCCATCTTGTGCTTATGAACATTTAACCTGTTTCTGGGTTTTTGCCATTACAAACAAGTCATATGTTTGTCTCTTCCATGCAGGTGTGTGAGCTTCTGTAGGTGTGGGGTTACTGGGTCATTAGCAAGGGCATCTTCAAGGTATTACCAAGTTGCTCTCCAAACTGGTTAAATCCATTTAGATACCAACAAGTACTGTTGGAGGAAGGTTTTGATCCTTGCCAATCTACACAATACAACATTGAAGAAAGTTTGGAAAAAAAAAGAAATCTTTTGAAGTATTTTTGAAATGCACAATGCTATAACCCCAATCCATCTTCTCTTGTAATTTTTATATTCCCTTCCACTCCTTTTTCATTTTCTTTATTTTCAGAATCTTGACCACCTGCTTTCTAAGAGGCCAGGACAAATCCCGGCAGCTCTCACCTTGCTATCCATTCGGCAGTGCCCTCAAAGAGGTCTGGAGTGATGATGTTGGTCAGAGAAGCTACGGAGGCGGCACAGTATGCACTTCTGGAAGGACAGAAACAGAGGTGGGTAGTGTTAAACTTTAAGGAAGGGCTGAAATAAGGTTTACTGAACTCAGGCAGACTGCTCTCTCTCTGCCTGGTAAGCTGTAATCCCTTCCTGGCACTTGGTCAGTCCTCCTGGGTCTCCGACTGAGAGGTTTGACATTCTGTTTGGATAGAGTTGCTCACAGCGTGACTTCAGTGAAAGAACATGACATTCTAGTCTCCCTACCTCCACATGGTCAAATCTACATCAGAAGAAATAACAGCCATATCAATTCATGTCCAAAGTGAATTTAGCTCTTCTTTCAAAGACCTATCATGGTTCCCAAACTTCTGCAGTGTCATTTGGCTATTTCTGATATGCTCATTCATTCGATGTCAGTAATGTTTTAGATCCAGGATTTCTGTTTATAGCATGGGCACATTAAAGGTCAACTATATATTTTTTTCTGCAACAAACACTCCAAAGCAGAGCACTAGACCCTAATGGCTGCTTAGTCCAGAAGAGAGGAACAGGAATCAATGAGTCCACTTAGACACTTTCCTTAGGCCTTTAGAGGGAGAAAAGAGCTTTGATTTCCAGCACCCCACCAGTACGTGTACACATACACACACACACACACATACACTTTTAAATGAAAAAGAAAGAGAACTTTTTTTTTTTTTAACGTTATCCTACTTGATTTGGTATAATTCTTGCCATTCCATCCTGCCAGCCCTAATTCTTCTCAGGACACATTTTATTTCAGCTTCTCCCTCTATTACAGAATATACCTACAAACTGTGTTTTCTTTCCTTCTACACCCTTTTCAAATATCCAGCGTCTCAGCTCCATTTTACGATGAAGACAAAAACTGTTTGTTCTAATTCTGCTTGCAGATCCCTTCTCTAAGGGCTCCTAAGGAATATAAAAGGGAGGAGAGAGGAGGGTCTAGTTTCCATGTCGTTCAATATGGACATAATGACAAAGCCAAACTTACGAGGTATTCCAAAGAAATCTCCACAGAAGCTGTGAGCGTTGTTATGCTCCAGGAGCCTTTTCATCAGCCTGCTCACACTGGACACAGAACGGCAGATGCTGAGTTACTCCAGCAGGCATCAGAAGCACGCAAGAGTCTTGCGTGCCAAACATTATCACTGACCATAAGCTAACCTCAGAGGTTTGATCTCATTTCTTTCAGATTTTGAGCCTCTCAGAGGGGTTCCCCAGTATTTGCTCTTGAACCTTAACGTAACTTCTGAGGTAGGGAGGCGGCCAACCATGTAGTTTGCCTCTCACAAACGGAAGAACTGAGAGGTGAGGCCAGAAGCCACTAGTCCTAGATCTCACGGGGCGGGGGGGGGGGGGGGGGGGGGGGACACAAAACACATCTTTTTTGTGCAGTTTCTTCCTCTCTCCTACTATTTGCTCATCACATCTCTCAGATTTGTTCACTACTCTCCATCCTCTCTGCTGTCCCCCAAATCCAAGTCACCATTACCTGGATCAAGCTCCTGCCTGGTCTTCCTCCCTCCGGCCCTGAAGTCAGAGGACTTTGACTAAAACACCACAATCTATTCACTGCAACTAGGAGAAGTTCTAATAAAATGCAGATCAAATCACATCATTCCCTACTTAAAACTGGTCAGTGGCTTCCCATTGCTCTTAAACTCCCACTTCTTAAGATTTCAGGACCCCTCAGTCTGGTCCCAGCCCGTCCTTCCAGCTTCACTTCTGCTGCCCACGAGGCCCTCTATACTTTAGCAACACAAAACTGCTTTCCTGAACACACTCTATGCCCTGTCACCTCAATTTCTGCAAATGCTGGGTCTCTGTCTCCCCTCTACCCTCACAGAATGCTCCAGATTCTATAACCTAGATTAGGAGGTCAGTAATAAATAACCTCCTATCTTGAGAACTGAGAAAGGATGGCACTTGCTAGGAGTTCACTGTGGTCTGATCACCTGTGCCATAAACCCCTGAACAAGCTCATCCCAGAAACTATCAGGAATCATGACACACAGGAAAGATCAAGAGGCCACTCTGTCTAACCCAGAATGAGGCCTGCTAGCCTCCAGATGCCCAAATGCACCCCCCCAGACACACACCCCACCTGTCACTGCTGCTTCTCTCCTGGTCAAACCCACTCAATAAGCACTCTGGAGTCCTGGCTGACACTTTCCGGCAAAGGACAATTAAATACCAAGCAAGAAATGATGGAACTGGGATACTAGAAACCAGGCAAAGCAAGGAGGTGTTGTGATCCTATGCAAATCAGAAGCATGGCTGAAAGGAAGCACATTACCAGAGGAGCTTATAGGTGAGATACAGGTGAGTACAGGTGCGATGTGGCTGCAGGGCTCTTGGGTGGTACAGATCGATTTTACTGGAGAAGTTTACTAGCATTTGTCTAGCAGATATAAATAAGAACACAGAAAAAACTCATGCTGGAACTAATAAGCTAGAGAATAATCACATCTGAAAAAGGTATGTGATACAATGCCAAAGCAACCTGCCTTTGCCTCATAATGTCAGAAGTTTTAAAAAGCTAAATTTTGAGGTTGTGCATATTCAGTTGGACTATCTGTAGAAGAGAAATGAAAATCTAGTGTCTGTGAGAGGGGGAAAAACTTTTAACTTTTTCCTTAAGAAGAGTGAACACAATACTGCTTTTCTTCATTAGTTATATTGGCTTTGTTGGCATTTACAGGGTTAAACACAAAACAACAGGCCCCAAATGGAGTCACTTATGCTAAGCCCCACCTCACCAAACTGAAACTTAGTAATAGTTTCAGCTCTCCAGAAATGAAGTCTTAAACCAGTTAATCAGGAAGCACCTGATCAGCACTGGTTAGGTCATCTGCCTGATAGAACCCTGCTGTCCCCTAAAGGAAAGTAACCTCGCAATAACCCACCTGTTTGCCTAGTATAACTTCCTTGTTCTTGGTCCCTTCTGCCTATAAAAGTTTCTATTTTGTGTAGCTCCTTGGAGCACCTTTCTATCTCCTGGGTTAGATGCTGCCAGTTTGAATAGATTTTTGCTCAAACTCTTACATTTTTTTAAATATGCCTCATTTTATGTTTTAACACCAGATACTGGGGTAGTATGATATAATAAAAATATATATTTGGTCTTCTCCCAGATTCCTGGTACAGCGCTCCTAAAACCCTTGGAATTTCCTGTGTGACAGGGGTGACAGGAGAGTCTCTAGTTATTCAGAACAAGCCCTGGTGAAGCACACCCGCATTATGCTAATGAGGTGACTCCTGGAGGGCGGGCTGCTTGCCAAAGGAACTGACCACATGGTTAGAGGGTTGGAACTTTCAGCCCCACTCCCCTGAGGAGAGGGGCTGCAGATTAAGTTAATCACCAATGGCCAACGATTTCATCAATCATGCCTACACAAGATAATTTCCATAAAAACCCTAAATGACGGGATTTGGGGAGCTTCCGGGTTGGTGAATGCATCCAGGTGACTGCCCGGAGGGTGTCATACCCCAACTTCATGGGGACAGAAGTTCCTGCCCTCTGGACCTCTCCAGACCTCGCCCTATATACCTCTTCATCTGGCTGGCCATTTATATCTTTTATAATATCCTTTGTAATCAACCAGTAAGTAAAGTGTTTCCCTGAGTTCTGTGAGCCCTCCTCGCAAATTGTTGAACCTGAAGAGGGGTCATGGGAACCTCTGATTTGTAGCCAAGTCAGACAGAAGTGTGGGTAACATGGGGAAGCATCTGAAGTGGGGGTGATCTTGTGGGACTGAGCCCTTAACCTGTGAAATTTGAGCTAAATCTGGTTAGTTGGTATCAGAATTGTTTAACATGAGGGAAAAAAAAAACACACGTTTGGTGTTGGAAGTGTTGTTAAGAAACCATTTTTCCAGTGGAGAACAGATTTTTGGTTTGAATCGGCACGTTACATGATTTTTCTCTCCCCCTTTACTTTCAAACCAATAGTTAAGCCAGAAAATTAACCAACTTGTGTAGAAGCTAAACACATTTACAAACAAGGTAATAGATGGCTTTGCTATAGAAAGCTCGAAAAAACATATTTCTCTGACTAAATAATCAGAATTTGGTATAAAATTTCAATGATCCACAACCTTTGAGAAATGACTTAGTCAGTGAATTCCCCATATGCTTCAGTAATCTCCTGCCAGATGAGTGAGCTACTTGCTAGGTACATTAGATCATTCTAGAGTGAAATAATAATTTTGAGCCAACCGGTTCTAATCAGTTATTGAAATTCTATTTCCCTGCACTCTACTGGCCCCCAAGGGTTTTTGTACCTCCTAAAGCAACTCTCATACAGGTGATAGACATTCTCATGATTTCACCAAATTCATTCAGAAAATATTTACTAGGTCCCTACTGGGCTTCCTTCTCCCTTCCTATCCCAGAGAGATGAAAGATTATATTACACTATACAGTTATTGTATGTTATGGTATGTCATTTTCTACCAACCAAATAAGTTTTTGATTCTTAAAAGCATTTGATTTTGTTCCTGTCTTATATTTTGACATTTACAAAGAAGTCAAGGGACAGTGACACCTGAGGACATCTGTCTCATGTTTGCCATGATTATGAACTGTGTCCCTGACATGTCATTCTATGTGTCATTCTGTGAGACAAAGCAACAGATTTTCCATGTTGTTCCTTGGGTTTGGCATCTCCAATGGCAGATAAACTCCAGAATCTACTAATGGGGCAGCCTGAGAAAAACCCTACTCACCTCACATCCACCTCACCTCCAACATGCATGAGAAAAGAGCCATCGGGTTGCTTCAGTGAGTACAAATACTGAAGAAGCTTCTCTCTAAGAAACAAACAGGTGGGAGGCAGGAGACAGCAATGGTCAGTGCAGTGTCAGCAGGCGGGGGCCCTCTGGGTGTCCTGTACTGATGCTTTGGCTGTACCTGTTAATGACGTCATAGGCCTCCTCAGTACCAATGATGCAGAGCGCATTGACTGCTGCATACGTGGGTGCAAGATGCGGGTACTGGCCAGGACCCCCTCCAAAGCCACCTTCTGGACTTTGACACAGCTCCAGGAACTGACACACGCTAGGTACACAGCCAAAGGGAAAACCAAAGTCAGAGAGCATTCATTTCAAAACATCAAATTTCACCAGAGTCCATGACTTTCCCTCAAAAGAGAAAAAAAAAAAAAAACCTCTCCTCCCAACTACTGAACATATATTGAATATAACCTCTGAAAAGGGCATCTCTACCCTGCTATTTTGAATGCCCTTCTTTCTGAGTTTTGCATTTAAGGACCCACCTAGCTGTGAAGCAAGGAGAAATCCGGGCAGAGACCAACAGCTTTTCATAGAATTGGGAGTAAGTCTCATGCCTCTTGACAGAATCTTTCACATATTTTCCCCTCAGCTTGCCATGCTAGATCTGTGGACCCAGCCCCTTCTCCTTGCCTCTGAGGTCCCTAAATTGAGTTTTGTCTAAGTTGTGATGGTGTCCAACCTCTGCCCATGCTAACCACTCTGGTCTGGAGCCACCACCTAGGCCTACCCAGGATATTTAAAGAGATGTCTTCTTACTCCTGTTGTCACCTAAGCCCCAGGGGTTTCTGACTTTTATTCCTACTACCACCAAGAAAGAAGCTTCTACAATTGCACTACTGGGTATTTACCCCAAAGATACAAATGTAGGGATCCGAAGGGGCACGTGCACCCCAATGTTTATAGCAGCAATGTCCACAATAGCCAAACTGTGGAAAGAGCCTGGCTGTCCGTCAACACATGAATGGATAAAGAAGATGTGGTGTATATATATACAATGGAATATTATGCAGCCATCAAAAAGATGAAATCTTGCCATTTTGCAGTGATGTGGATAGAACTAGAGGGTATTATGCTAAGTGAAATAAGTCAATCAGAGAAAGACAATTATCATATGATCTCACTGATATGTGGAATTTGAGAAACAGGCAGAGGATCATAGGGGAAGGGAGGGAAAAATGAAACAAGACGAAACCAGAGAAGGAGACAAACCACAAGAGACTTAATCTCAGGAAACAAACTGAGGGTTGCTGGAGTGCAGGGGGGTGACGGATAGGTGGCTGGGTGATGGACACTGGGGAGGGTATGTGCTATGGTGAGCGCTGTGAATTGTGTAAGACTGATGAACCACAGACCTGTACCCCTGAAACAAATAATACATTATATGTTAATTTAAAAAAAAAAAAAAGAAGCTTCTAATGAAGTCTGCCTCCATGGTTAGGAGAACAAAAGAGAAGTGGACTTCTATCCCACGCTCACCTCAGTTGTGGCAAACGTCAGCACTGCTAACTCACATCACAAAAATGCATCGCAGCCTGTAGGCTTTTGGAGAATTTTTCACACTAATCCACAGAGGCTCCAGGTCCCCCACTGAGGGAAACCTCCAAGCATGGCATCAGGTTGCCCAGAAGTTACATTCTTGTCTGAGGTCAAACCAAGGGAGCCCCTATTTATCCAAGGTCCTCTGAAGTTCACCAGGAAGGGGTGCCCCAGGAAAGTCCTGGTTATTGAGCTCTTTCCCCACAACTCAACGGGGATCACAGGCTTCCAATTGGGACGAGCCTCCGTTTAAGAGAACAAGCTGCAAATCTCTGCCCTGGCGCTCAGGCAGCCTTCTCCCCCGGACTCTCTGATCTCATTCTTTTTTACCTACCGCTGACAGAGGAACCGCATAGAGTCTAGCTCATCTCCCCCAGGGCACAAGCTTACTATTGCTTTTCCACATAATATCTGATGGCTTTTGATTTCAGACCTTCCATTATCTCGCAGGGATAGCGACAGAAAACACTGCTGACTCGCTACTGGAGCTCTGAAGTCTTCACAGGTTAAAAAAAACAAAACACACACACACACACACACACACACACACTCCCTCCAATCTGCACCTCTGATTTTACTGCAGGAAACACGAGGATTGAAGTGGAAGTTGATCAGCAGAGAAGGAAGACAGTACTGTGTCATATTTGTAATAGCAATTAATTTTCACTGAGAAAATGAGTTTGTTCCTAACATATTTTCCAAACCTTCATCAATTCATAGCCTATGTCCTGGAAACAAATAGCTAATAAATTCATGTCCTGACAAAGGCTGGCCGCACTGGCATTTTTCTGTATCACAAAAACAAAAGTTTTAGTTGATACAGAACTTAACAGCACATTAAAAAAAAAAAAAAATGAAAAGAAAAAGAGCCACCTAGCTACCCATTCTCTTTCCCAACTCCCAAGATAGAATCGTGCCAAATACAACACCCCTGACCCTGTAGCCTCACGTCTGGAGAGCCGGGATCTGAATGTACCAGACACCTTTAAATCATCCCTCCATGCCAACCTCCCTCAGCTGACATGCAGCATCTGACTGGCCATGGGGCTATGCTGGGGAGCAGGGCTGGGCTTTTCTGGACTCTCAGACGCTTCCATTTCACAGAACATTCTGCTCCACAGGCTTTCCAACTCACACCTTAAGGAACTGGCAAACTGATCATGAAGCTATGAGCCGTCATTAGCAGAGCTCTTAGCAATTCTGAAAAGCAAAATGTGAATTGAGACTTCTATCTATAAAAAGGGGGAGGAAAAACTTATCTTAAAGACCAGAAATTTACCAACTAGTTAAAAAAAAAATCACAAGCAGGAAACATGGTGCAAATACCAAGAGTGGCAGACTTTGTGAAGAACAAGTTCTCGTGCATCATTCGTTTAGTCATATGACTGAAAGGGCGAGGAGACCTGTTTGCTTTCAAGTCAGCAAGGCGTTTCATTCTAGCTGACGTGACAGCTGCCAACAAAGTGGGGGACTATCTTTAAGATTAGGGATTTTCAAACCCAAAATGTGTGTATCACCATCACCGGAGAGCGAGTAGAGACAACAGAGATGCAAGAAACAAGCCTGGGCCTCCATATTTTTACCAAATTCCCAGATGATGTGAACACACACAAAGTTTGAGAATCACAAGTCTTAGCTGAGCAATCACTTAGGGGATGTTTTTTTAAAAACCCAACACCCAGGCCACATCTAATACCAATGAAACCAGAATCACTGAGGCTGGGACCCAAGTGGCCATATTTTTTTAAAATTCCCATGTGGCTCCAATATACAGCCAAGTATCGGTGCCTCTCAAACTTGAGTGCACATGGAAATCACCTCAGAATCTTGTTAAAATGCAACTCTGATTCGGAAGAGCTAGATGGGCTTGAGTCTGCCCTTTCAGCAAACTCCAGGTGATGGTAATGCCACTGGTCTGGGGAACCACATTTTGGGGAGCAATGAGAAAGATCTGTGCTGTCCGATAGGTAGTGACTAGCCACATGGGGCTATTTAAATTTTAAACTAAATTAATTACATTAATGTAAACTTTAGCTCCTCAGTCACAGAAGTCACACTGCAACTGTTCAATGCTACATGTCCCCAGTGGCTCTCACAAAATAGAGAACATTTCCATTGTTGTGGAAAGTTCTATCGAACATCAACGCTCTCTCATTCAACTATTAAAAAGTATGTGAGACCTGTAAGAAGATCAAGTTCAAAGCAAGAGTATTAATGATTTACCGTCAGCCTCATAAGGGATTTACTTGGACTTTGAGGTGATGGTTGAGGACTGACCTAAAGTGGCTGATTCTGGGCATCTCTGTCACCAACTTGGATGAAGTACTCTAAAGCATGTACAGTGAACAAACTAGTAATTCCAAAGGAGCAGAGAAACACCTCCAAGGTGAGAATTAAAAGTCCAGAATATTAAAGAAATCAGAAGCACATAAGAATAGAACAAATAAAACACAGACAAGTAACAGATAATACACTTAGGGATGGCAGGAGTGGGGGATGAGTAAAGCATATAAATATATGATGGGAAAGGACTGGGAATATAGGAGAAAAAGAACCAGGGGGTAGAGCCCGTGAGCTGTGAACAAAAATGAGAACACTTGTTAAGAGCATCATAAATGCAGTGCTGGGGGCGCCTGGGTGGCTCAGTCAGTTAAGCGTCTGCCTTCGGCTCAGGTCATGATCCCCGGGTCCTGGGATCGAGCCCTACATCGGGCTCCCTGCTCAGTAGGGAGCCTGCTTCTCTCTTACCCCCTGCCCCTCCACGCCGCTTGTGCTCTTCCCCTCTCACTCCTCTCTCTCTCAAATAAATCAATAAAATCTTCAAAAATAAATTAATTATTTAATACAATAAAATTAACTAACTAAATAAATAAAATAAACACAGTGCTGGTCACAACGGTATCTGGCTCAAGCCTCCATTTTCTAACTCAAAGGAGGTTTAGGTTAGAGTTGTAAAATTGGCTAAATATTAAAAATATTAAAAGGCTTAATATTATAGGCAAGCACAGTGAGGAAGCTACCCAGAAAAATACCTCAAGCACGCAAAGAGTAACTGTACAAACTTTCTGGTAAAGAAATGAACACGGAAGCTGAACCACAGCAGCAGAATTTAGGTCAGATTTAAGAAAACCTTCAGCACCAGAACAGGTTACTGTGGACAGACTGACGGCCTAGAAGTTACAAAGATGAAAGCTTTAGAAATAGCAACAGTCATCCTGGAGCAGGATGGCTTGGGAGGGGAGGCCAATACAAGATGGATGTGTGGACACTGGGCTTCCTCTAGGACGAAGTCTTTCCAATTTCATACCATAAAACAATTTGAGCTTAGCGCGAGGGAGAGAAAGTCCTCCCCAAGCGGAGTCCGGCAGTGAACGGGTGAAAGGCAGGTGGGCTCTGCAACCAACCCCAGGAGGCCAGTGCTGCCTGGAGAGTCTGACACGTTGTTTGACTTCACCAAGCGCAGCCATCCGCTGGATGCTGCTGTTCTGGAACTATGGTCAAAGCTGAAGTTGGTCATTTTAGAGCAGGGCTTCTCCACCTTGGCACTACTGACATTTTGGACTGCGTAGCTGTTCGTTGTGAGAACTGTCCTATGGAGGGTGTCTGGCAGCACCCCAACTTCTACCCACTACCCAGCGGTGCCTGGCCAAAAAATGCCTAGGACACAAAGGACGAGATGAGGTATCTTCACAGAAAGGCAAGGAAACAGACAAATTATATTTAAAAATTAAAAGGAAAAATATTTAAAGAGCTACCTAGGGGATCAGCTACTAATAACCTTTTGAAAGGGAAATAGTAAAACACTGACACACGAAAATTGAAATTTAATACTTTGAAAAACTTGGTAAGCAAAGAAGTCCTAAAACAATTAAGTGAAAGACCATTTTTAGATCTTACAGAAGCTAAAAACCTAACTTTAACAGTGCAGTGGTCCCCCTAAGACTTCACTTTACTTTGTGTGCTACGTTCAAGTAGTTTTCAATAACAAAACATGGGACTGTCATTGAAGGATGCTTCCTTCCGGGCTTAGATCATCAACAAATGTATTTAGTCCAGTTCCAAGATATTAACTTATTTCGGGTAAACACACGCAAATTTGTGGATACGGTCTCTCAAGAGTAGCAAGCTAAATTCCTACCTATGAATATACTATTCTTGAAAGGTCTGAGACTAGAAGTAAAAACCTGGCCTTGCTGGCTTCAGTAGGCAGTCACAGCAGCTGAAAAAGTGATTTTGTCCACTAGAGGGAACTCAGCCTGCCATACTGTTCCCTAAACAAATAGAAGCACAACACTGAACAAAATAGGAAAGAGAAACGTGTGTGTGCGTGTACGCGTGTATGCGTGTGTGTGTGTGTGTGTGTGTGTGTGTGTGTGTGTGTCACCTGCACTAGGTGGCGGAGTGGGAAAAGAAAGGGGCAGGAAAATAATAATACTCCAGACCTAAATTCTGCACCTTAATGAAGAAGTGAACAGAAACATGACCACATTTTCTTTGTGCAAAATAAACAAAAAGGCAATATCCTACATCAGATTGTCTTTTTAAAAAATCCCACATTTTTACAGAAGTCATTAAGATTTCTCTGTATCTTACCAAAAATAATTTATTTCCTTATTTGTCAAAGCTACTAAGCTCGTTGATAACAGATATTACCTGCACCTAGAATTAACTGTTTGCTAGGCACAAAACAAAATTCATTATTGGAAAGTCTAAGTAATTCTTTAAAAGTCTGTTAAATCAATGCTCAGAAGAACCACAAGTAAAGATTTTAAGGCAGCTGGGAAGCAGAAATTCTCATTCACTATCACGTGGTTCTTGAAATTAGAACTAGCTTTTTAGTTCTAAAGCATTCTTTTAAATACAAAACAATAAAATAAATAACATTTTAAAACATGCAAATACCCCACCATCCAGAGATAACTACTACCAGGTGGGCATATCTTCCGGTTTTCTCTATGCATGTAACTGGCTATATTTTTAATCTACAGAAGTTGAATTTTTTTAACTACCTTTCTTCACTTAAATCATGAACACCTTTCTACATAAATGTATGCATTTTTAAAGATTTTATTTATTTATTTGGGGGGGGGGCATGAGCAGGGGGAGCGGCAGAGGGAGAGGGAGAAGCAGGCTCCCCGCTGGGCAGGGAGTCCGTATGCATTTTTACAAACAAATATGCACTTCCTATGTATCCATTTTTATTTAAGTATAATTGATACATAGCATTTTATTAGTTTCAGGTGTACGACACAGTCGTTCGGTATTTGTATATATTGCAAAATGATCACAGCAAATCTAGTTAACATCTGTTAACTGCAATTTTTAAATGGCTGCGCAGTATTTCACCGTATGCACTGCACCATGTTTTACTTCAGCTGCAAACACACTTTAACACATCCCTCCTGTGGATAGTGGGGTCGGGTCCAGGTGTTCACTGCGAAAAGCCCTTTAAAGGGGGTCCTCTCTTCCTGTCTGACGTTGCCATGGAAGCCGCTCCGACACTCCTTTCCTCAGCAAAGCCTCACCTATACCACACCAAGTCTACAACCTAGAACAAACCCCAGATCGAAGCCGACCCAAGTCTGACCTGCGGTCTTCCTCTTCAGGAACTACGTCCTCCTAGGGCACACCTGCTCCTCCCCGCCCCCAAATCCTCCATTTCTTGTTTTCTTCTCTCCTGTGCACCTCTCCCATTCCCCTGCTGTACATCCTGATAGTGTATCTGTGGGGGAGAAATTTCCCAAACACTCCACAACCCCCAACTGGTATTTCAAAAACACATGGGCCTTTGACAATTAAATTCCTGTTATTGCAGAAACTGGGTCCAATTCTACTTCCAGAGCTAGAAGCAATTAGGCTTGCAGCAGCGTTGTAATAAGGACAATGCATATTTTTCCTCTCCCTCAGAAAGCAACGTACACATCACAAGGGTTAACTGCCTAATTCTTTATTATCTTCCCCATCCACAGTCATCACAAGACACCCTGCCCAGGAAGGCAAGAATGAGAGGTTATTGTTAAGACAGAATGAATGAGACAATGTGTGGTTCTGTTCTTCTGACCTGACAGTGTGACCCAGGCAGGGGCACTGGGACCGGGGCGGGGCCCAGGCCAGCCTCCAGCATCCTCATGGGGCCGGCGCTGTGTGCTTCGGGAAGACGACCCCGGCTCACGGGCCTTCCCTCCCGGACTCCTCTCCCTCAGGAGGAACAGGGGAGCAGATGAACTCCAGATGTTTCCAAGGGAATGTGCTCTCTCTCTCTGTCTCCGTGAAAACTGGGGCATCGGATCTGTCCCTGGCTGCCCTTCCCTACCCCAGGTATCCCTAAGACTAAAGTGAGGATAAGGGGGTAAGGTTCTGCTTTAAAATATAAATTGTGATGAGCTTCTAAGGATGAGGTGCCACAGTCATCCCCAGAACACCATCTGTACCAGCAGTTCGGGGAGAATCTCATTTGCTTAGATTTCTACTCATAAATCAGAAGTTTAAGAAAATTGTGGGTCAAAGTATCTGCACACCAAGAGTGTAACACATCTAATACCATCAAGAGCTACACTGTCCCCCAGGCACTGGTGGGGAGGGAGGCCTATGGAGGTGTTTAGGGAAGGAAAAGGCGTTTTTGTTCATTGGGTTGGCACATGCTTCCCCACAGAAGCTATTCAAATTCATACTGTACTTTCTGGCAAAATCATGTCTCTCGGAATTGATGATGAAGAATTTTCTCAAAGACCAGAGCAAGAGCCGAAAGAAAAGGCCATAGAAGAAACCAGAATCCTTCTCTTGGGAGTTCAAAGTCTTGTTCTACCCACAAGCTCACAATAGGCTTCTAAAGTGGAGGAGTTTCAGGAAGTTACTGGGGTCAAGGGGAGGGCAAGGGTATCTTTGTAGCCTGATGTGTTTTTCATTCAAAATCAATATAACAGAAACAAAACAAAAAGAACCCCCGACTCAAAATGGAATTTCAAAGAACAGCCCAGATTCCCTGAAGCTGGACTCACTCTGTGGCCACCATCTGGGGGACGGGTTCATCTAGCAGTTCCAAGCTGTGGAGGATCCAGTAGCAGAGCCACGGGCGGCTGGCATCCAAACACTGTGAAAGGCACAGGGAGAGAACACACCCCTTATTCAGAATCATCCCAAGATGCTGCTGACAAGGCGACATCTGGCTCACCCCAGATGCCTGGAAAGGGGGAGGAGGGCACCCTATGAACAGTAAGTGAATGAAGGACGCTTTGCTTTGTGGCCCCAGTCAGCAGCTGAAGTGACCATATGTGCAGAAAGGACAATGGGACAAAGAAGTTCACCTTGAGCCCGCTAGGTCCTCCCCTGATAGGCGCCTAAGGAAGGCTCAGCAGAGGGGTACCCACACGCTAGGAAGCTAAGTGATGCTGTTTTCTCAGTGTAGACCCAAGGAGATCTAGGCTCTCAGACAGCGATTTCCTGGATTAACTCATCCACCGATTCAACAAATATTTGGTACCTTCTTGTGTGTGCCAAGCATTGTATTAGATACAGGAGGCACAATAATGAATACAATTTAGTTCTTACTCTTGAGATGCCTGGGATATAGAATGTGTGTGTTTATCTGCAGAGGAAGAAGGCTCTAGACAGGTGCAGTTAAACACGAGTCACCTTACGGCTTTCTGGAACAAGATGGCACATAACACACGCATGCGTGAACCCGCATAACAATATGCGCTACAATGGGCAGGAGCAGAGTCCAGACAGAGCACATGAAGAGCCTAATTCTGCCTCAGGGGCTGGGAAAGGCTTCCCAAGGTGACGCATGAGGTGCTTGGGATCCCAGTTCAACCCATAAACATGGATAGAGCATCCAAGGCAGGCAGGCAGGTAGTCGTACTGCTCCCGTTTTCCAGAGTAAAAGTATATAAATGAGATCCAGGGAGATTAACTTTTTCCAGACGACAAAGACCATCAAATGTCAGAGCCGAGACAAGAAGCCAGGTTTCTGGACTCGCACTCCAGCGCTCCTTCCATTGGCCCAAGCTGCCCTCTTCATGAATGTGCTGACCGTCCTGAGCTGCGGCTAGGCCACCACCTGGGGAGCTGTGCATGTGGATCCCGCCATGCGCTTCCGAGATGACTTAATCCTGCGACTGACCTCCGTCAAGTAGTAGGTGAGATAAGTAGGGGAGAGAGGGCATAGCAAGCTGCAGCACTCCACTCAACTGTTAGCTGGTACAGTATTAACCATATCGGGGCTCACTGCAGCCTAATCAGTGAGGACCCCCGTCAAGGGTTGAAAATTTTGACCCCAAAGCCAAGTCTAGCCCGTAGGCATGTTCTACCTGTTCCCTGTAGTGTTTTGTTTTTTAAATTAGAATTAGTTGCAAGGTGTAGGCATTGGGAGAGTCACACAGGAACCCGGATTTCTGGCTTAATTTGAAAAAAGCGAGAGAGAGAGAGATCTGGCCAGCCTGGGTCTACTGGAACAGAGGGAAAGCACAGGGCCTCGGGTGTGCCTCCGCCTCCCTCCCACCTGCCCACTTCTCTTATTTACGCTACCTGCTTGGGTCTACAGGCGTTTCAGCTGGCCAATCCCTGCTGTAAATAATCAAATGCAGACCCCCAAATAAAAAGCAAATTAAAAGCAGGGCTGCTGTGTATAAGGTGAGGCAGGAAGATTGGAGCCCTCCTGTTCACATGCATCCCCGGCCTGCCACCTTCCCAACACCGTGCCCCCTCCTCCACCACCACTGCCCTCCCTGAGGCCCCTCTGTGGAAGCCCAGGGCTCTGAGGAATGTGATTTAAAATGCACTCTAAATGTGGGCATTTTTACAGTGTTCAACTGTGGAAGTCCTCACTGGGATTTATATACTGATCCTTTGGTCGGCATAGGAGTTAGATCCGCTTATAGGGCAAAGGATTAGGGATGGACAGGAACTGCCTTTTAGCCAGGTGACAAGCAGTGGCCAGGAGAAAGCACGTGAACCCCTCACCACAATCTAAGGTACAAGAAAGCCCCACCCCATGTAGGGTGTCCCAGGGGAGGGCACGACTAGCGAGCTGGTTCTGCCCTTTCAAGAGTGGGAGCGCCGGCTCCTGCGTACCTGGCTCCTGCCGCAGCCACAGGGATCAGAGAGTGACTCGGCAGCAGGTCCGGCCCATGAGTGTTTCACATTCTAACAGAAAAAAGGACCATCTGGCTGACCATCCGACTGAGCTCCTGGCAGCATGCTTACCTCATAGGCGTCTGTCAGCTGTCGAAGCCCTCTTTTCAGATAATGGAAGTGCTTCTCCCTCTGTAAAATCAGCCTGTAGAGACAAAGAGCTTGAAAACCCAGTCTTATGCTTCTGCTTCAGCCCCACTAGAGAACACACGTGTGCACGTGCACACACTCTCAGCTTCAGGACACCCCCCCCCCCCACCCTCCATGGTCAACAAGTAGATAACCAGCATCTTCTTTAGCTCCCAAGGGCAGCTAAACCAGACAGAAAAGGCCAGCACCTGACTGTCCCTAAAGTGTCTGAAAAATGTGCTGGCCAATGCTTTGGGTGAGTTCCTCTCCTTCGTAGTAGGTGACTTTGGGCTAAGCAAAAAGCCACAATGAACACACACAGCCAGGCGATGACAAACCATCCAGAAAGCTCCTCCAGGGTCTAACTGTGAGCAGACACCTTGTGGCTCCCCATCCTGTGAGTTTAATTCCAATCTGAGCCTCACCACTTCCCTGACTTGGTGAGCCTCTGTCATTCCAGTCATTTCTTCTAGGGTTACTTCTCCGAGGTGGGTCGTTTGTACCCTGCCTGCTCCTCAGTTGTGTGTCTGTGACTCCCTCCCTGAAATTCCACCTCCTACGTGCTGACCTACTGCCCTGGCCGCAGGATCTTATTTGTATGCTGCAGCCAGTTGGTCTCCTTGGCACTCATGTCTGTAATTTGGCTGTAAGATGGAATGTGCCACCCATGGCCACCTGCACGGGCAAGGCCAAGGACAGGGGCTGCACTTCCTGCTGGGTCTCACAGCAGAGGCCTGTGTGATTGTGGGAGGAAGGAAAAAAGAGTGGCCAGACAGTCCCCGTGCTTAACTAATTCCACAAATTAAAAGAGAACCATTCTCTTTTCTAGGTGATCAGTTCAAAAACGATTTATTGAACTCCCTCTGTATTATGCTCAGCGTAAGATCATTCATGTAGTCTTTACCTCAAAGAGTCTCCCAGTTCAGTACTGGAAATGAGTTAAAGACACAAGTGGCTACAATGTGAAAAACAAATGGGAAGGTTTCATAAAGGAAACACAGATAAAATACTACCCAGACTCTAAAGGGAAGGAGTGGGGGGATCTCATGAAGAAAGGAATGATCAGGAAAGGCTTGCGGGAGAGGGGGACACGAGGTGGGTGGCCCTGGTAGAGGGAGAAAGTGTTCACAGGTAGAGATGGTGAGCAGGGAGGAGACGGTAGCCGGAAGGAACAAAACAAAAAGGTTCGGACCAGCGCTGTCCAAAAGAACTTTCCTCGATGATGGAAATGGATCTGTGCTGTCCAGTAGGCAGACACCAGCCATGAGTGGTTACTGAGCATGTGAAATGTGCTAGTGTGACCGAGGAACTAAATTTCAAATTGTATTTAATTTGAATTAATTTCAGTTTAAATAGCTACAGGAGACACATGGCCACGGTATTGTGCAGTGCAGGTATTAAGTGTGCAAAAGGGGTGGGGATCTGGCCTTTCATTCATTAGGAATGAAAGAAGAGTGGTCAAAAAGGCAACGTAAGCCCTTTTATAGGAGTCTGGAATGCCACCTGAGGATTTCCTACTCAATTTAGTAGGCAAAGGTAGACCCTGAAGTTTCTCGGGTTTTTTTCCACTTAAGCTGTGTTGTTGTTGTTGTTTTATTGAAGTAGAGTTGACACACAATGTTAACATTAGTTTCAACCTAGTCATTCAACAAGTTTATGCATTAAGCTATGCTCACTCAAGTGTAGCTACCACCTATCACCATATGATGCAATTACAATACCATTGACAATATTCCTTTTGCTGAGACTTATTCATTCCAGAACTAGAAGCCTGAATCTCCCACTTCCCTTCACCCATTTTGCCTTCCCTCCATCCTTTCCCTCTGCAACCACCAGTTTATTCTGTGTATTTATGGGTCTGTTTCTGCTTTTTGTCTGTTCATTTGTGTTTTAGATTCCACATGTACCTGAAATCATATAGTATTTGTCTTTCTCTGTCTGACTTATTTCACTTAGCATAATACTCTCTAGGTCCATCAATGTTGTTGCAAATGGCAAGATCTCATTCTTTTTTATGGCTAGGTATATTCCACTGTATATATCTACAACACATCTTTATCCATTCATCTACCATATGCTTCCATATATTGGCTATTATAAGTAATGCTGCAATAAACACAGGGGTGCATGTGTCCTTTCAAATTAGTGTTTTTGTTTTCTCCGGGGAAATACCCAGTAGTGGAATTACTGAATCATATGGTGATTCTATCTGTAATGTTTTGAGGCACCTCCACACCGTTTCCACAGCAGCTACGACAGCCTGCGTGCCCACCAACAGTGCATGAGGGGTCCTTTACCCCCAAATCCTCACCAACACTTGTTATTTCTTGTCTTTCTGGTTCTAGCCATTCTGACGGGTGGAAGGTGAAATTCTGAAGGTTTTGAGCTGAGAAAAAAGGTGACCCAAACTGCGCTTTAGAAAGATCATCTGGCAGCAGTAGGTATTCAATATGTGTTTACAAACTGGGCCAAGGGAAAACACTAAGTGCGGAGAGAGGGGAGGTGGGAAGACGGGGAAGGCGGTGCTCACAGTCAACCAGGGCAGAAGTACTTCGAGTACTTAGGGCTCAAATTAGCACGGTGACCCATGGGCAGGTGGGCTGTATGGCACAGGAAGTATACTGAGGTGATGATGTCAGTCGCACCTCTGGAAACACGTTAAGACTCAGGAGAGGGCTCCAAGCGACACAGACGGACTAGGAGTCATTTATCTGCACACAGGTGACAGATGAAGCTGCAAGAGTAGAGGACAAAGCAGAGAGAAGAGCTTGAGTGCTGGGCTGGGGGAAGACCCATCCTTCCGGGCTTAGAGGACAAGGAACCAAAGGAGAGAATTAAAGAATGTCACGTAAGTGGGAGAAGGACAAAGGCAATACCGTGTCACAGGCAAAACAGCCGGAGAGAACTCCACGGAGGTATTTAACCGTCGCAAATGCTGTGGCAAGACTGAGGAAAAAGAGAACAAATGACAAAGTGGCTGGTGACCTTCGAGAGAGTTCAGGGAGCCGTGAGCAGACTCCAGAGCATAAAGAAGAGACGGCCAGAGATGTCTCTTTCAAGGAGGTCCAAGGGCTGGGACTCTGAGCGCCCCCTGTGTGCAGGCTGAGTGTCCCGCAGTGGGGTGGATGCTGACTCCGCTCCCTAGAGCTGCGGCCCAGAGGCGGACACAGACAAGTCCATGGCAGCGACAGCCTCAGCCGAGAGAGAAGCGTGCTGGCTCTGGGAGCACACGGCAAGGCACGCAGGATCAGAACAAACTTCCCAGAGGACATAGCATTGCGTCAAGGAATGAAGGAGACCGGAAGGACACGAGTTAGCCAGCCAAAAAGGAGGGGATGGGGTGGGTGTTTCAGGAAGGGAACGACGCGGCACATTTGTGTAGGTTTAGTTCAGCCAGAGCAGAAGTACAAGGTAGTGAGCCGTGAGAAGGCAGCCTGGAGAGGCAGAGAGGTACCAGATCACGCGGGGCTTCTAAATGCATCAGTAGTCACTGTGCTATCAACATCAGATGACCCTTGCAAAGTCTATACTAAGTAAAAGAAGCTGTCACAGAAAGACCACATGCTGTATGATTCCACTTACATGAAATGTCCAGAAGAGGCAGATCCACAGAGACAGGAAGTAGCTGAAGTGGGTGCCAGCGGCTGGGTAGGAATGGAGGGACGGGAGGGCGATGGCTAAAGGGGACAGGGTTTCTCTGTGACGGGATGAAAATGCTCTAAAATTAACTGTGGTGGTGGTTGCACAACTCTGTCCATATACTAAAAATCACTAAATTGTACACTTTAAATGGGTGAATTGTATGATATCTGAATTGTATCTCAAAGCCGTTACCAAAAAAAAAAAAAAAAAGGCAAGTAAAAAAAAATTTTTGAGGCAGCCGCTGAAGTATTTTAGGCATGGGAAAGACATGGTCAGATCTGCATTTTCCAGATCCCAGGAGCTGCAGCACGCTGACTAGGTTGGGGCGGGGATAAGACTAGTGGCAGGAGACCAAACCCACAATCCAAGCGTGTCTGTGATGTGTGTGAGGGAAGAAAGACAACAGACGGGCAGCCTGAGGGGGCACCGGGGGGAAGGCAGAGGGCAGGTAAAAACTGCCTGAGAGCAAAGACGCTGAAAATACAAGTGCCCAGAGAAAATCCACCAAGAACGGTCCCTAAAGAAGAGGGAAGAAGGGGGCTGGGGTGGAGAGTTCAGTAGGAGAGATGAGTCTGGCAGTAAGGATGGATGCTCCATTCTCAGAGATGGAACCAGTGGGAGAAAGTGTGAAGTTAGACAAACATAGGACTTGGAAGTGGAGAAGAAGGAAGCTCACATGGGACAGCCTGGAGTTTCTCAGGAGGTAGGGGGCAAGACGGGTCACGGGGGCGAGTGTGTTAGGGAATCTACAAGAGATGAGGAAGGGGAGCACAGAGCAGTAGTGAAGGCCCAGATAAAGCTTGTAGTATAACTTCTGGTGTAGCCACTCAGCAGGCAACGTCACATGACTTTTCTCCTCGGAAATCTTGCTGGGATCCTTCAGCAGAAGCAGGGACAGGGATGCCATGTTAAGGACTGGGAGGAGAGGAAGAGCAGAAGGGCGGAGGCGGGAGCAACCTGAATGAGAACCGGGAACTGGTGACAAATAGCTGGTGAACCATGGGGGCGCAGGCTGAGAAGCTGGGGGCGGCCAGGATGGGAGTGCAGACGAGGAGAACCAGGGGTGTCCACGAGACCATCAGTGAGGGCAGGCTGAGAAACCCAAGCCAGGTGAGGGCAAGTACAGAATCTGGAGGCAGATCGCCTGACTTCTAACTCTGAAAGGACCCATTCACAGTGCGGTTTTCTATAGGTCAATTCTTTCCTATCGAAGAAACAATCAAAGGAATTTGAATACACCAAATACCTTGAGAGGCTAAGCCACAGAGCAGAGAAGGGAGAAACAGAAGAGAACACTAGCCACCTCATTTGGAAATATGAGGCAAGACAGTGGTTAAGGGGTCCTGTAAATAAGAATTTGTGATCCTTAGTACA